CATTTTCTCTGTGGGGCTCCAGTTTTCCCTTCAGATTTTATTTTCTAGTTTCTGGATAACAAATCTTGGGACTTCCCAGAAATCCTCAATGTTATTGTACTGTGCTGTTTTTGTCACTGTAGTTTTAAATCCAGGATTATGATTAACCCTGTTTAGGTCTTGTCACCCAGGATTGCTTTTGCTATTCTGGTTTTCTTGTGTGTCCTTATAGATTTAGGATATTTTTCATCTAGTTTTGATTTGAGAGAAATGCTGTTGGTATTTTAGCTAGGCTGGCATTACATCTGTATGAAAGTTTTAATAGGACTTCATACTGATGTTTCTAAAAAGCCAACCTTACATGGATCATTCTAGCTTTTCCTTTGTATATCTGCAAATTTCCACAGGGAAAACCTTCCCCCTGCTTTTGCCATCCATTTGTTCATTTATTGTGGTGCACATTTACAGTAGTATCAGAATTGTTAACCTATACCCTTATGGGAAATGACTCTATGACTGAAATATAGTGCTTTTTTTTTTTTTTTGTGGAACCGGGGATTGAACTCAGGCCCTTGCACTTGCTAGGGTAGCACTTATTCTACTGAGCCACCTCCTCAGCCCCAGTATAGTACTTATGAACATTTACTCCTACACACCCCACTCATTTCCAGAGTTGCTTGGCTCTTTATCCTTTCCTCTCCTCATTTTGTTGAGTTTGTTTTATACATTTGTCATACATTTTGTAGACTCTTGTGGCCTGTATTTCTTCCTGGAATCTCCTAATATGTTAAATAACTTTTTAAATTTGTGTGTATTATAGTTCACTTTTTGTACTGAATTTCTTTTTTTAAATGTGTTTAGTACAGGGTCTCATTACACAGATGGGACTTGTGGTGATCCTCTTGTTTTCAGCCTCCCAAGAGCTGGGATTACAGTTGAGCACCACCACGTCCAGTCTTAATCATTGTCTCCTGTCTTGGGATCAATCCCCAGTCCTTGGGTCTGCCTAAGCGGGCACTTTAATCCTCTGAAATACCTGGCTGGTCTCTGAAGTTTTTTTTTTTTTTCTGTTGTTTTGTTTTTGGCCGAAAAACCAACAACAACAACAACAAAAAATGGGGATTGAACTGAGGCCCTTGTGCTTGCCAGGCAAACACTTACTGTACTGAGCTATCTCCCTGGCTCCCTTGAATTGGTTTTGACAATAGTGTGAAGTCCTTTGTTCACCATTATGGTGTAATACAGCAGAATATCACTGGTCTGACCCTGTGCTTTACTTGTTCACACCTCCCTGTAAAATGCTGGTGACCATTGATCTTTTCATTAGCTGTTAGAGATTTGTCCTGTGTAGAATGGAAGGTAATTTGAATCATATAGAATATAATATTTTCAGATTGACTTACTTTATCGAAAGGGCTTTTAAGATTCATCTATGTATTTTATGGTTTGGGAGCACATTTCTTTTTATCTGGGGTAAATGGTCATTGCATTGGTATACTGTAGTTTGTTTGTCCATTCACCTTTTGAAGCACGTCTTGATTGTTATAGTTTTGGCATTTAGGGTGTATGCTTTTTCCAACTAAAATACTATGTACTTTCACTCTTTCTTGGCTCATATGCCATTTTCTGGAGTTTAACCTTAAATAGTCTTAACCAACTGTGCATAGAGCACTTGCTCTTTCTTAGTATAATTAACACATTCACAACAGGGCCATAATTTTATGTCTCACTGCCAGGTGGCTCTGGTGTGAGTGTGTTACATTCCTGCTGCTTTGAGCTACATATGTATGGTGATATACACATGACTGTCCCATTGGGTGACATGGGGCGGTTCTGTTTGGTGGTATAAAGCATCTGATGGGGTAAGTCAGACCTGGTGGCTTGAACCACCAATGGTTCAAACTAGTGGGAACATGTTTGGGTTTTGTAGCATGAAGTTACTTGTTCATGAGTTACTGTCTATTGCAAGGTGGCAGTGTTCTTTGAGAGCAATGGATTCCTTCTTATTTTTCTAAATGCGGTGTTTTTTCTCTACATGTGACTGGGCATTGCTCATTAACTTTAATGGGATGATATCCTGGTAAAAAGGGCAGAAGGGGAGTACCTTGAATTGAAAGTAGACTCATTGGAAAGAATTTCTCTGAGGTGGACCTTGGTTTTTGAAGGTTGTAATTTTGAAATTCATGAAGGTCAGAGAACAGGTAGTGTTTCAGTTTTAGTTTTAGCCAAGTACTTGATATTAGGATCACACAGGACATTGTTGCTGGGTGTTGTATTTTAAATCTAGACATTCAACAAGTATGGTACCAAGTAGGAAAAAAAAACAGGCGTAAAAGAAAATTCCTCTAATCTGATTAAAAAAAGGTAAATAGGGCTAGCCAGATAGTTCAGTGGACTGAAGTACCTGCTTAGGCAGAGCATAGCAGCCAGGGTTCGATCCCCAGTATGCTGTCCTGGCCGTGCCCCTAGGGCACGCTGAGACATTGACTGAGACTGGGCATGGTGGTGCACGCCTGTAATCCCAGCACTTGGGAGGCTGAAAACAAGAGGATCATTACGATCTGTGTAGTAAGACTGGACCCTGTACTAAATACTTAAAAAAAAAAAAAAAAAAAGGGAAAATCATATAGCATACTTGACAGAAAGTTTGAAGCTGGGCATGGTAGCAATCCCCAGCACTCAAGAGGTTGAGGTGGGAGGATTGCTGTGAATTTGAGACCAGCCTGGGCTACAGTAGTAAGTGTAAGCCTACCTTGGACTACCTGGTGAGACCTTGTCTCAAAAAAATTTATTGATTTGACATGTGTTGGTGGTGGTAGGTTAATATCTTCTGTTATAAAATAACAGTACATTGTTTAATGAGTAACCTGTATAAACAAATACAGTAGTATTTACCTAAAACAATAAAATAAAATAACAATACAATGGATAACACTTTATAGCTTTCCCTTTACTAATGAATATTTTTTGTTTTATATATTTTGTGTTGTCTATGTTATAGTTTGTTGTCTAGTTGTCCCCTGCAAAGTCTCATGCAGTCATTGGTGCAGGCATCTAGTGTTTGTGATTAGTTCATGATCCAATGCTGGGATTATGGGTATGTGTGTTGCTACACCCATGGATAGCCTGAATGGCAATATAAGGAAGGGAGAGAGGCTCTGCCTCTGCTGCCACAACTGCTGTTCCTCACTTTTTGCTCTTGCTGCTTTTGCTATTTTTCATTGCCGTGAGCTGCTGCCCTCTGTTATCTTCCACTCTGCCTTGGAGCCAGCTGATTATGAACTGAAACCTCCACAAACTGTCAGCTAAATAAAAATTTCCTTCCTTAATTCTGGGTGTCAGCAGAATTAAGCAACAAGAGAAAAGTACCTGAGACAGTCTACATAAAATTTTATGAAATATATTTGTGTTATATGTGCATGCTTTCCCTTGTTTCACCATTTCATGTCCATCAGTGTTTTAAAGTTAGAGTCTGATAATACTACTTATAGTCAAGATCTGACAAAATGAGAGTATATTGGAAAGAATTGTGTATGGGAGTGTGGCCGTAGTCTATACAGCGGAAAATGTGTACAGTATAAACTGATAATTCCATTTTTTGGTTTGTTCTTCCAGGAACTCTGAACTGATATATAGGAATATTCATTAGAGCTAATTTTTTTAATTTAATTTTATTTATTTATTTATTTTACAAAATCTCAAAACAAGATTTTAGGAGAGTAGCAATGGTTAGTACATTGTGTATTGTTACTGCCAAAGTAGTTTCTCATATTACAAGATATAGGCAAGAAATAATAAATAAACAACATAGGTACAAACCTCTGTTTTTTTTTTTTAAGTCAACAGAAAATGGAAATATACTTTTTAAAGTTTCTAATACTAGGAGAAGATATCATACAATGTCTTTTAAATAAATTATAAGTCAAAGATACAGTATAAATCTTAGAACAAAAATTAAGATTAAGCAATATTCAGAAAATTAAATGTTTTTTTTTCAAAGTTTTATTGATAAACAGATAGCAATGAGACAGTTTCAAATCAAATCGGAAGTACAGTTTCAACAAATAATACACTGCATATATTCTTCTTAGTGGTTAAATGCTGTACAAGATGCGGACTTGTGATCCTATTTACAAACACCATTAGAACAAGTCATTCTATTCATTAAGAGAATGCAACTATATATCTATCCCAACCACTTTGAATACACAGATACAAAATGGACATTTATAGGCATACCCTAAGAGCTAATTTTTAAAAGTACAAAATTGTAGATAGTGTAAATGTGTTTATAAATAGTGCAAACATAGTATATTTATCCTGCGGTGTGTTAGAGCAATTGAAATGAATAAACTTAATCTAGATGATCAACTTAGTTATGTCAGTATAAAACAAGTGCTTAAATAATACATGTCAGATTCATGATAACATATCCTGTGGGGGAAGAATGAGAATGGAGGAAGTATCAGCTTTATCTTAAAATTTAATGTGTGTGAATAAAAAGAAACATCCAAAATAAGAATAGGGACTCATTAGAAATACTCCTGAAATTCAAAAAGTACCAACACATTTAGGTGTTTATCCCCAGGTTTTGGGATTATGATTGATCATTAAATATTTCTGTTTACTGTTCTAAACTTCATTCTGCACAATGAAACATCTTTCCATTCTGATCAGAAAGCAGACTTTAATTTTTTTTTTTTTTAAAACCGGGCATTGAACTCAGGCCCTTGTGCTTCCCAGGCAAGCGCTTATTCTACTGAGCTATCTCCCTGGGCCGCAGACTTTAATTAAAAAAGTCCTATTTCTTATTTATCTGTGCCTCTTTACCCTTTAGGGGAAGGAATTGGGGTGAATGGATATCTAAATTCCACTGTGGCCATCATTAAAATTGCCAGTTTTTTTCCTGTCTGTTTTATTATTTGCTAATTTCATTAAGTCTTCCTTTATTTGGTTTTTCAGTAAGGTAATTCACTTTTTTCCAAAGTCTTATGTACTGCTTTTACTTTTCTGCTGTCTAGGTTAAAGAAGAGATGCTGTTTGAATCATTGGTTACAAGGAAGACGGTAACAGTAGGAGAAAAGCTCATCTTACCATACAAGCTGGCAGAGGTAGGATTTTCTTTGAAATAAGAACATTCTGGACATTCTTAGAAGTTTCTGTTAGTGTTTTTTTCTTTTAATGAAATGAAAATGATAGTAATAGAAAATATTAATTGAAATCTGTTCTAGGTCTTTGAAATTTGAATGAATTTTCCATTGACTTGGAAACTTAAAATTGAATGTGATTTTGATGAAACTTGCATTTCTCTCCCGGCATCTTAGTCTCCTAACCATTCTAAGTTTCATATTTTTAATATGGGAGAGAGAGAAGAGTAGGTAGAATAATAAACCAACAGTATTTGACTTGATTGTTCCTTCTCAAGACAGTTTCTTCAGTTGTAGCCCAGAACATTATACTTAGTTGGTTTACTTTTTAATTGTTGGCCACTTCTTTACAGTTCCTTTTCCTTTCCTTCTGTGTCTTCCAAAAGCAGGGGTATGCTGAGACACAGTGTTTATTTTGTCTTCTCTATATTTAAATCACCCACTCACATGGCTTTAAATATCGTATGTATACTGAGCCTGCCAGCTGAGGTTTTGTGTTTTTTGGTTTTTTTTTTTTTGTCTGCTTTGTTTTTCTGTGATAGGGTCTCTTTGTGCAGTTTAGGCTGGCCTTGGGCTCACTTTGTAGCCCAGGCTGATCTTGAACTCCCAACTACCCTCCTGCCTCAGCCTTCAGAGTGCTAGGATTACAGACATGCTCCACCATGCCCCGCTGGTATATAGGATAGGACACTTACTGAAAGAGACTCATGTAATTTTATGAAAGTGATGAGAAATCAAGTGATAATAGTTTTAAAATTAGGAATATGAGGTTAAAAGATTAAGAGAGAAATGAGAGAATGGTTATTGGAACTCCAGAGAATGTTTTTGCAGCTGGTATTGATCCATTTTTGCACTTCGGTTACCCTTGCTTACCTCCATGTCCTTATTGTTACTTTTACGATCTCTCACTATTCAGAGCTCCCTTCTAAATAATAAAGAAGCCAAATCTTTAAGAGCTTTTATTTTTATATAAAGCTTGGTGATTTTATATTTTCTTTTAGAACTTTTTTTATCACAAAATGTTGTTTTGTTTACATTGGCCTTGATACTCAGCCCCACCCAGGCCTGCCTCCCTGCCTGCCTCCCCCCTCTCTCCTTCCCTCTTTCCTTCCTTTCCTCTTTCCCTCCCTCCCTCCCTCCCTCACATCCTTCCTTCTACTCATTCTTGGGGTGAAACCCTAGTACTTTCTGTTTTTGTTTCATTTCAAGACATTAAGTCACTAAGTTATCCAGGATAGTCTCAAACTTGTGATCCTCTCAGTGCTGGGATGACAGGTGTGCACTCTTCCACCCAGCTTGTCATTATTATTATTATTATTATTTTTTGTGAAACCAGGGATTGAACTTGGGCCCTTGCACTTGCCAGGGAAGTGCTTATTCTACTGAGCCATCTCCCTGGCCCCTTTATTATTTTTTTAAAGGAGCACTTTGGCTGCAGTATGGAGAATCAGCTGAGGAAATGTTTCTTATATCTGTAGAGATCAGCAATTTAGTACAAAACAGTTTCATCTTGACAGGTCCTGTGGATCATGATCTTGAGATGGGTTATTTGGTCTTAGGGACTTACTAGGCTGACATCAAGATTTCTTTTAGATCTTTGATCTGAGGCTTGAAGTTCTCTTCTGAGCTTATAGGCTGTGAACTCATAGGCTGAGGATTTAGATTTGGTTCCTTGAAATTGTGGGCCTTAAGTACTTTATGTTGTTGGCTTTCTGTCAGACACCACCCTTACCAGCTGGAGGTTGCTTGCCGTTTCTTGCCATGTGGCTCTCCCACAACATGGCAGTTTACTGCTTCAGTGTCAGCAGAACTCTGATAAAAGCACCCAATTCCTTTTAAAGAACATTCTCTTTAAGTTCAGGCCACCTAGAATATGCCTTATCTTCACTCAGAAATCAGCCGTTTTAGCCTTTAATTACACCATTAAAATTCCTTCACCTTTGTAATGCAACATAAGCTAATTATAGGAGAGAAATCCATTATATTTGTAGTTTATACTTAAGGGAAGAGATTCATACAGGGGATAGGAATCTTGGGCGCCATGTTAAAAGGCAAGGATAGGTGTAGAGATAATGAGCTCAGAAGCTGTGCAGTGAGCAGAAAGATGTTTGCTTTGTTTGCAGTAGTGATACATTGATTTTAAAAAAATGAGATGGTGAAATGAACAAGACTTAGTGATATTTACAATAATGGGAGGCAGTAAAGGAAAAGGAAATATTAAAGATGAGTCCCAGGTTTTTGCCTTACACAGCTGTAGGAATATTACCCTTCAGTTGATTAGGAAGCCCTGAGTGAGGTCTTGTTGGAGATGGGGACTCTTACTTGGTGTCTCACTGGGCCTTACTAGTTAGGCTAGGTAGTACTGCGTGGCAGATCAAGGGGTGGGAGTATTGCCTGGAAGTTGGAGAATACATTGGGGATATATTGCTGTATTAGGATTCTGTGTGACTATCTTTTAAAATGGTACTTAATAAACAAATAGGCAGATTTTAGTTTTTATTTTCTATGTTATTTTATCAAAATGGTACTTATAAATGAATAGGTGGATTATAGTTTTTTAATCTGAAAATCTTTTTTCTATCTGAAGGTCTATTTATTTATTTATTTATTTATTGGCGGAACCGGGGATTAAACTCATGCCCTTGAGCTTGCCAGGCAAGTGCTTATTCTACTGAGCCATCTCCCTGGCCCCTTGAAGGTCTTTTTATTAAAACTTTAACCAATATATAAAATTTATTTTATCAACTCATGCTAATATTTTGTCTTATGCTTATTTATTACAAAAATCTTTTACTTTGCTGAATTTGATCAGACTCTTCATTCCCCACATCTCTGGGGAAAAATAGTAGTGCTGTTCTAGTACATAGTGTATACATTCTACTGTTTTTCTGAAATATGTTGAGATACTTACCTTGATAACATATTTGGGAAAAATAGTAGTGCTGTTCTAGTACATAGTGTATACATTCTACTGTTTTTCTGAAATATGTTGAGATACTTACCTTGATAACATACCTCAATATAGAATTCTGGGGTCAAATCCTGCTTTCTCTTGAGAATTCTTTGAAGAATTTCCATTTATTTTCAAGTTTCTACTGTTGAACATAACTCACAATCATTCTTTTGTTTCTTCTGTGGGTAATTAAATTTGGGTTTAGAAACTTAAAGATATAGATATCCATCCATCCATCCATCCATCCATCCATCCATCCATCCAGTCTCATACTTGTAGCAGCCTTCTTGCCAAAGTGTTGATGTTGTTTTTTGTTTTTTTGTGAAACCAAGGATTGAACTCAGGCCCTTGCGCTTGCCAGGGAAGCGCTTATTCTACTGAGCCATCTCCCCGGCCCCTTTCGCCTAAGTGTTGAGATTACAAGCATGCAGTACCATGCTCTACTAAGTCACTTAATTATTTTCTGTGTATCTCAGAAGAGGAATAATGTTTTCTTGAGAATACAAGCTTCAAAATAAATCTTTAGGGCTGATGAGATAGCTCAGCGGACTAAGCTACTGCTTTGGCAAACGCAGGGACAAGGATTCAATTCCTGTCCCACATGCTGCACCTGCCCTGCCCTCAAGGTGCACTGAGCCAGCGAGAGTCAGAGCATGGTAGCATGGCTTTAATCCTAGTTCTGGGGAGGCTGAAAACAGGAGGATCACTATGAGTCTGAGCTCCGTAGTGAGACCTTGTACCAAATACGTAACATGAAAAAGCAAACAAAATAAATCCTTAGATAATAATATTAATTATTAGGCTTTGTATTCTTTGAAATGCCTGGACTTAGTTCAGTAAAACATGCAATTTTTTTTGAATTTTCTTCAATAGAATTCTATTTTTTAGGATAATTTCAGACTTAGATAGATTGTACAGAGGATTTCCATAAGCTGGAGAGGTCTTGAAGTGAAGGAAAAATTAAAAATTAACTTCCTAGCTCCATAGTGAAAAGACTACTCAGTGCGGGGCCCCAAGTAATTCTAGAGGCTACTGTGGCTGACAGGCAAATGCAGTTTGGGATATAGTTGTGGTGGAATTGTGTGTGTGTTTTAAGTGTGAGAATGGGAGCAGTAGTCCATGGATACTAATGCACACTTGTTGCCATATTTTTCTACCTAAAATACAATATTTTTTTCTGTACTAGCTGGTAAGGCCATTTGTGTGTGTGTGTGTGTGTGTGTGTGTGTGTGTGTGTGTGTTTAAATACTATATACCCTAGCTTTTAGTAAAAATGATTTGAATTTTGTGACCTACATTTTGTTTTTGTTTCATGACAGTTTTAGCCCACATACACTGAGTTGTACTAAATTAAGAATATATGTAGAAAATTTCAATTACAGGCTATTAAGAGAAAAATCAACTTTTTAAAAAAATCAGCTTCTAATTGAATCTAATAGGCTTTCTTGAATGAGATCAAACATACTTTATCATGGTGTCTTAGTTTACTACCACTTCCACTTTATACTCATTCTTTTTCTTGTCTTACAGGCTGTGACAGTCAGGAACTCTATGGCTAAGTCTCTCTATAGTGCCCTGTTTGACTGGATTGTTTTTCGAATTAATCATGCACTTTTGAATAGTAAAGATTTGGAGCACAATGCCAAGGTAAAGATACATTGCATTTTAATGTATTTTCCCTCAAAACTGTTCTATTAAAATTGGGTAATACACTTTTATAATTAACTTTTTGATTCAGGGTCTCTCAGTGTAGTACAGGCCATGAATTCACTTTGTAGCCCAGGTTGGCCTTGAATTTGGTTGTCCTCCTGCCTCACCCTCCCAAGTGCTGGTATTACAGGTGTGTGCCACTTTACTTGGCTAATACATATAATTTTAAAGCACTTTATTACATGGAGGTGTATATTATCCCCTTCTGATATTTATTATCTTATTCATAGGAACTCTTCTATCTTACCAGACCTTTTGTTTTTTCCTTTTTCCTTATATGCCAAATGCATGTATATTCACAATTGCTTTTAAAAAGATGAATAGAATTGATGAATAGAATTAATGATGTCTGTATTGCCTCAAATTTTTATGTTATCTCTTGAAATACATTCTGTGTCATTACATATCTGAATTTTTTTAAAAAAATTATTTCTGGTACTCAATATTGAACCTAGGACTTTGTATGTGCTAGGCAAATTACTTACTGAGCTGCATCCCCACTCATTGTTTGTAATAGTTTTGTAATATATAATATGTACCATTAATTCTCTTATTAAATTGAATTTTTTTTCTTTCTTTTTTTCTGGTACTGGGAATTGAAGTCATGACCTCACACTTGCCAGGCAGGTGCATATGTCACTTAGCTATCTTTCTGACCCCATAATTTTTTGTCTTATTATGAATAATACTGTAGCATTTTTGGTTTTTTTTTGTACTGGGGATTGAACTCAAGACCTTGCACTTGCCAGGCAGATGCTTGTGCTGCTGAGCTATATTCCTGGCTTCTTTTTGATTATCTTTGAATACCTTTCTCTAGGATAAGTTCTTCATTTCTGAATTGCTAAATTTAAGACTACCATATATTTTTTAAAAATTTGATTATAACTTTTACAAACTGGTTTCTAAAAAGGGCTATATACATCTGTCAGCAGTACATTAGAGTGTTCATTTCCCTATTTTTACCATATTGAATATTATCATTATTTACATCTCCTAATATGATATGTGGAAGGACTCAGGTTGATTAGTCCTAATCCTGCACAGCTATCCCTTTGTTTCCCCCTTGTGTTCCAGAGAATTGGACCCCAAGGCCTTTGCACTAAGAATTGGACCCCAAGGTCTTTGCACTCATGATCCTTTTTATTTTTTTTCATTTTTGAGACAGAATATCCCTAAATAGCTGTGTTGCTCAGACTGGGCTCTACTTTTTGATCTTCCTGTATCAGCCTCTCAGAGTAGTGGAATTACATGCGTGCACCACCATGTCTGGCCTAGTTACTTGAATTTGTTCATGCTGTGTTTTTGTGACCCTATGTTTGAAGTTTTTGAGCAGTTAACTCATTCCTTTGCTTTATTGTTTTGGTTTTATTTATTTATTTATTTATTTATTTTTTGTGGAAACGGATCAAACTCAGGCCCTTGCGCTTGCCAGGGAATTGCTTATTCTACTGAGCCATCTCCCCTGCCCCTATGTTTTTACTTATAAAGAAAGGCGTTGTCCATGATTATAAAATTTTCAACATTACAATTTTAAAATACAATTTTTAAAATTGTTTTTATGTATTTAGTACAGGGTCTCAACATTCAAGTAATTTAGCTGTTTGGCAAACATAGATTAGAGTTTAGTTTTCTATTTCTGGATATTTAACTTCTAGAATTTATTTATTTATTTTGCAGTACAAGGGATTGAACTTCCTGGTACTCCTGATCCTCCTGTTTTCAGCCTCCCAAGCGCTAGTATTACAGCTCTGCGTCACCATGCTCAGTCTCAGTGATTGTCTCAGTGCACCCTGGAGGTGGGGCCGGCATGACACTGGGGGGTTCAAATCCCAGTCGCTGAGCCTGCTGAGGCAGGTGCTTTAATCCACTCAGCTATCTGGCCGGCCCCATATTGGCTTATTTTTGAAGGGCATTAGTTTTTTTTTAAATAAAGGATTAGACTTACTCAGAAGAATTAAACAGACTACTTGGTACAGACTTTCAAAAATTCTCTTAAAGTATATCATTACATTCATTATGTCAGTTTGCCCAGTATTTCTTAGCACCAGTGGAGAATAATTTGTTTTCATTCAGCCAAAATAGTTATACCAATTACATTTCAAGAATGGGAATGAGAGATGAAAAAGATATATTTATTATGCAAATATTAGAGCTAAATCTATATCATTCATAGTACAAATGTACAAATTCTAGAAGTTAAATATCTAGAAACAGAAAGATAAACTCTAATCTTTTTTTTAATTGGTTAATTTGTTTTATTTTATTTTATTTTATTTTTCTCAAAGTTTTATTGATAAATATCTAATCTATTTTTGCCAAACAGCTAAATATTTGAATGTTGAATTTAGGAGGCAGACACTGAGAATGAGGAAGATTGATGTTTTTCTTTATAGTCTTTTTAGGAGCTGTTCAACATTTTAAATGTTGTATTTCTTTTTTTAATAATTTAATTTTAAGACTGGGGAGATAGCTCAGTGCTCTAAGCACCTGCCTGGCAAGCATGAGGACCAGAGTTCGATCCCCAGTACAGCATGCTGTGCTAGCCCTGAAACAGTGTGATGGCGTATACCTGTAATCCAAGCTCTGGGGAGGCTGACACAGAAGGATCACATAGGAGTCTGAACTGTGTAGCCAGACCCTGGGACAAATAACTTAAAGAATTTAATTGTAGGGTCTTTCTTTCTTTCTTTTTTTTTTTTTTTTTTCTTTTTTTTTTTTTTTTTTTTTTTTTAAGGGAAGGGTCTACAGGGTGTTCAGGGTCTCACTACTAGATTGGACTCATAGTGATCTGCCTGTTTACAGCCTCCCAAGAGCTGGGATTATAGGCGTGTGCCACCACTCCCAATCTCAATTGCTGTCACACTCAGGCCTGGGGATCAAACCTCTGACCCCTGCACTTGCTTGCAGGAGCTTTAATCTGCTGAGCTATTGGCTGGCCCTTTAATTGTAGTTTTAAGAAATTACATGATTATGTGTCTTTCTCTATCTCTGGTCTTTCTGAATCTGATTACATATGCCCTTGTTAATTTAGATCTTCAATCAGTATTTCATTTTGGGGGATATAGAAGTAAAGAGGAAAAGTTTAATGATCTTCTTGGGATAGCCAGGAATAATTTAGCTTTGGTGATTTTTTTACTTAAATTCCCTTTTGAATTTTTTCAGTTATTGTTTCCATTCCTTCTTGGAATTTAGGGATTTCTCAGTTTAAGGATTTCTGAAATGAATATAATAGGCCACTAGCTCTATAGCTTGTACATTTTCTCTAACGTTATCCAGAAATTGGATAGTTCAAACCTTGGTTATATTTTTATAATTAGGATAAAAGTAAGATGAAAATAAAACCAAAATAGTTGTTGATTACTTTTTGTTTGAACACGAGCCAGAAACAGTCTCCTTTTTATTTTTTTTTAATTTTAATTTAATTTCATTTAATTTTTTATTTTTTTTGGTGGAACCGGGGATAGAACTCAGGTCCTTGCCCTTACGAAGGAAACGCTTCTTCTACTGAGCTGTCTACCCAGCCCCCAGTCTCCTTTTTAGTGCTGCAGAAGTGAACACGTGTTACTTAGGAATGTTATTGAATAAATCTGAGCCTTCTTTTAACTAAAATGTTCTTTTGCTTTTCAGACTTTGTCCATTGGTGTTCTTGATATTTTTGGCTTTGAAGATTATGAAAATAATAGCTTTGAACAGTTTTGTATTAATTTTGCTAATGAACGTTTACAGCACTACTTTAATCAGCATATCTTTAAGTTGGAGCAAGTGAGTACCTAAATATATGTATGCTTTCCCTTTACAGGTTTTGGGATCATATCGTGTGATAAGCATTTTAAATCTTGTATTTCAACACAGATGTGTGGTGCTTACAACATTATAAGCAAATGACAAATCAGAGCAGAGCTTTGGAAGCATGTCATACTTGTCATATATATAGTCAACAAGAGATTTTTTTTTACTACAGCACATCCTCTTTTGACTGCATTTTTGAATCAAACAATAGGTTTGTTTTGGGGTATTTTTGGTGTGGAGGATGTTGATTTTTAATTGGTATATGAGCTTTGTCATGTGTGTAATGTGAAATATGTTTGTTTCATTACTTTGGCTTTTTAGTCCTAGGATGGGATAGAAGAGCACATTAATAGGATCTTAAATCAGCACAAAGTGTATATCAAAAGAAAGAGGACAGTATGGAGAGACCAAGAAATGTAACTAGATATTTCTCAAGAGAATGTCAAGTTTGATTGAATTAGTATAAAAAAACATGTGAGTTTTAAGTTTTCATAAGAATTTTTAGAGTAAAAGCAGAGTCAGACTCTGTCTTGCTCTCTCTGTCTCTGTCTCTCTCTGTCTCAAAACATCATGCAATTTTAGGCTTAGGTTGAGATTATAATCAAGAATTTCTGTTTGTATGTGAGAACACTGGCAGCAACAAGGTTCATCATACTCAAGGAAAATGGGATAAAAAGGCTGCAATGGTTAAATTTACAAAACACAGAAAGGGGGGGGGCATCATTTTTATCATTGTACTTTGTAATTAGGACTTGTTTCTTTCTGACCTAGGCTTAAGTGCTCTATGTTGCTTAACGACTATACTGGCTGATTATTAGTTGCATAACAAGTATTAGTCTCAGCAACCTTGATGAATGCTTAAAATGCAACTTTTTAGCCAGATGCTACTGTAGTACCGTTAAGTGGCAATATTGTTTATGATAGCATTAGCTAAAATGTATGTAGTGTTACTTATCAGGAAGGTATAGATGATGCCTAAAGACGTTGAAATCTTAACCCTCTGGGTCTTTTGTTTTTGCTTGTAACCGAAAGCTGAGTTGAGGTTACTTCTGGATCTCTTGACTCAGTCTTGTGCTCTTTTAACTAGTCATGCTAAATACTTTTTATCTCTTGAAAGAATCTATGTGTTTGAGGGGCAGGGGAGTACATTTTGTTGACTGTTGTGTGGTTTTTTTGTACTGAGACTCAAACTCAGAGCCTTGCACTTGCCAGGCAGGTGCTGTGCTGCTGCACTGTACCCTGACCCTGTGTTCTGTGTTATTTTAGAGCAAAATATCAGTTCTGTGGATCATTAAACAGAAGACTGGTTAAATTACTTTTGAAAAAGGTGTTCTCTCATTACAAACTGAAATTATTCTTACATTTTCTAGAAATCTAGTTGTACAAGAGCCATGAGAAATGCCTTAACCATAAACATATTCTGTACAAATAAAATCTTACAATTAATGGAAAAGGTACTCAAAACTATTGTGATTGAGTGATCTCATTTACTTGCTATATTGAATATTATAATTTTGGATCTAATGGTTATGTCTTTGATGTAATTTTTGGGAAGGTTAGAGACCTTACACTTCTTTGCCATCTTGTCTTTTATTCTCTTCACTTCCTCCCATGTTTTTGCACTAAAAGTGGATTTGGTGTTAATGAGGGATTTGGAGCAGTTTAAATACTGAGTGTTTTATTCATATGAAAAGCACCAATATCTGGTATATAGCTATCCTGTCACTGTTGGATTCAAAAATTAAACCATGGGGGCTGGTGAGATGGCTCAGTGGGGCTGGTGAGATGGCTCAGTGGTCTAAAGCGCCTACTTAGAACAAGCTCAGCAAAGCACAAGGACCGCGGTTCAATCCCCCAGCACCACATGCCAGCCAGCCCGCCCCCTGGTGGGCTGAGCTGGCCACACACACACACACACACACACACAAATAAAATTAAAAAAGAAAAATTAAACCATGAAAGAAATTTTTTTAGGAAGAAATCATAATATTATTACTGTGGTTCAATTCTTAGTTTAGATCAGTAAACTAAGTTCTGAATTTTGTACAAGAGGATCATATAGGCATATAGGCTAGCAGGATGGTAAATGCTGCAGTTACATATAAGGTGAATGAATACTTGAAGTATGCAGTTAATGAGAGCCATCTACAAGTCTGGATAGAATTCCTGGGATGATTCTAAAGTATGGTTTTGATTGGTGAGTTGTAACTTGTCACGTTGTCAGTAGGTGAAAGATGTTTTAAGGGAAGGGAACAATGTATTAATGCCTCAAATATCATGCACAGAAGATGCAGACTTTTTATATCAGGGCAAAAGTTATTTAAATATATTTAGCAGGGGACATGAATGGGAAGTACGGAATATAGAGTCAAAAGAGATGAACTGTAGGTAATAAGGAGATAATCTGAAACCGTCTGGGTACATGTTTTTGAGTCCTAATTTCAAAGTAATGTGAGAAGTAATGTGGAATAAGAGACAGGCAGAATGAGTTTTGAGATTTGAAAACTCCTTTTCTATTCGCATTTATAATGTTGCCCTCTTTTTTGTTTATTTTATTGGGGTCTCACTATGTAGTCCAGGCTGGTCTTGAACTATGTAACCCAGGCTGGACTAGCTTGCACTTGCAGTGATCCTCGTGATCTTCTTGACTCAGCCTCTTGAGTAATGTTGGGATTATAGCATGCACTACCCGCCTGGCTATTGTCCTCTTCTTTACTTGCACATAATTAGCCTTCACACCCTTGATCCTTCAGGAATTTTTTTTTTCCAAGAGCAGTATTTATTTGTTCATTCATTCATTTCTTTTTTGAGACAGGATCTCACTAGTTTAAGCTGGTTTCAAACTTGTCTATCTCAGCCTCCCAACTTTATAGGACTGAAGATTCAGAACTATCCTGGATGAAGTTGCAGGATCCTGTCTTCACAGCAGAAGCGAACTTTGCTGGGTCAAATGTATTGAAAAGCTACATTTCAAATATTTGGCATTGTAGTGAAACAAAGCAATGGAGATGGTAGATCTTCCCAGAGAGTGGGAGGGAGTCTAGAAGAAGCAGTAGGGAGGTGGGAGGTTCAGGGCAGTGAAGCTGATACTATATTGGATACATCATCAAGTATTTGTCAAAAGCCCACAGAATGGCTAGATCGGGAGGTGCATGCCTACAGTCCACTTGGGTGACTAGGGCAGGAAAATTACAGGCTCAAAAGCAGTCTTGGCTGCTCAGTGAGATGCTGTCTCAAAACATAATCATTTATTTCATTTTTTGAGATGTGGTTTACTGGGTAGGTTAGGCTGGCCTTGAGTGCGCTGTCACCCAGGCTGCTCTTGAACTTGCACTGATCCTCCTGCCTCAGCCTTCTGAGTGTTGGAAATACAGCTGTATGCATGCCACCACACCTGGCAAAAATGTTTTATAAAACTTCTTTTAATGAGGTTTTTTTTGGTTTGGGTTTTTTGGCACTGGAAGTTGAACTCAGGACCTTGTGCTTGCCAGGCAAACACTGTATACCATTTGAGCTATAGCCTCAGTCTGAAATAATGGTAAAACAAGGCCCAAGGGCCAGCCAGCTAGCCCAGCAAAGCAAATTGAATATTAGTTATGTGCCAGGCATTGTGTTCAACTGCTCATTTAGATGCTCATGCCTTTCTAGAGCTGCTTTTAAGGTATCCTGAGCATCCTAAACATTGAAGATAGAAAATTTGGAGTGTAGGTATCTTCTCTGAGAAGTTTTAAAACCTGTTAAGTATTTGTTTTGCCCATTTTGCTTTTGGTGATGTGAGACTAGAAAATTCTTACTGATTTTACTTTGGATACTCCTGTCCCCCAACAAAATGCATTTGAAGGTAGTGGATTACTTTCAAATAAATAAGGGCCTAGAGAGTAAAAAGGAAATTTCAGCAGGCGAGCCCAGCATTTAGTAGGCAGCATTGCTTTGTTCTGACAGAAGGTTGCTGATTGGTTATAAGCCAGGCTTGGAGGCTTGAGGAACTGAGGAGGGTTTTCTGCTGACTCAAAAGCAAGGAGGGAGCCTGTGGTAACTTCTGTAGTTTTCTTTTCTTTCTTTTTTTTTTTTTTTGGCAGAACCGGGTATTGAACTGAGACCCTTGCACTTGCCAGGCAAGTGCTCACTCCACTGAGTGAGTGAAGGATTCTGGCCACTTCTGTAGACTAGGTTGAAATTCCTCCAAAAGGTTACATGTTAGGAGAAAAGGTGAACTTAATAAAGGGATTGAAGTCTAGTTTACATGATCCCAGTTGCTCATTGAGTTCAGATAGTGTTGTAATGCTCTTAGGCACCTGCTAAGAGTAGATTCAGTCTGTACTATAGGAAGAGATTATCTTCCTGCTTCAGTTACTGCTATTAAGAAAACAAAGAAGCCAGGCATGTTGGTATACACTTGGAATCCCAACTGGCATACATAGAACACTTCACCAAAAGCTGCAGAATGTACATTTTCTTTCCCCAAGTTAGATCAAAGGGACATTTACAAAATTTTATATAGTGAACCATAAAGCAAAGATCAAATTTTCAAGAGTTGAAGTTATACACATTTGAATACCATAATGACATTTTGGCAGAAATTAATGACTAAAAGATAACTGGAAAATACTGATATGATTAGTTAAGAAATGTACATCAGGGGCCTGCCCATTACCTCAGTTGAAGTGCCTGCTTAAGCAAAGGCAGTCAGGCTCAGGATATTGTGGTTCGATCCCCAGATCCTCATGCCTTTCCAGAGCTGCCCTTAAAGCATCCTGAGCCAGCCCCCCTCTTAAAAAAAAATCCTCTGTACTTAAAAAAAAAGAAAAAAAAAGAAGAAAAGAAATGTACATCAGGGCTGGCTATCAGGTAGCCCAGCACATTAAAGTTCCTGCTTAGGCAGACTCAGGGACCTGGATTTGATCCCCGGTGTGCCATACTGACCCTGCCCCCAGAGTGCACGGAGACAGTGAGTGAGCTGGGTGAGGTGGCACGTGCCTGTAATCCCAGCTGTTGGGAGGCTGAAAACAGGAGGATCACTACAAGTCCAATCTGTGTAGTGAGACCTTGTAGACCCTGTGTAAATACATGTAAAAAAAAAGAAAATGTCCATCTTAGTAGCATAGAAGATGGAAAAATTAGAATATATTTTGAACTTAATGAATATTTGATGGGCTATGACTAATACTATGTTCAGGAGCACATAGCATTTTATAGTTGTTTAAACTATTTTATGGTGTTAGAAGATGTTAATTTTGATTAGCAATGATCAAAATGATATGGCAGAAGTGATGTGGCAGAAGATCAATAATCTAAGCCAAAACAGAAAAGTAGATGAAATTAAAGTGAAAGTAAACATGCCATGGGAGGGGGGGTTCAAATTAAAAGTAATATACTTGATAAGATAAAGTAACGTTAAAAACCCTTCAAAACTTTATGAGAGAGACAGAGACAGGTAGGCAGACACATGATTGTAGCAGTCAGACCGACAGACGTGGAGTCAGGAATGTAGATAACCAGAAGCTCAGTGATAAGGAGGATATCACTGTGGCTCTTTTACAAACTGAAAATGTAATAGAAAACAATAAATACTTTTTTGTCATCAAATTGGGTTATCAAGTGATAAGGAAAAAAAGCGAAGGCCAGCCTGAACTGCAAGACCCTGTCTCAAAAAGACCCAAAACAAAAAACCTCAAAATATTAGCAGACAAAAAATCTGAACAAGATACAAAAAGGATAATACATCAGAACTAAGTGGAGGGCCGGTGAGATAGCTCAGTGGACTAAGCGCCTGCTTGGCAAACTTAGGGACGTGGGTTTGATCCCCAGCACCACATGCCAAGCCAACCACTGAGAACTGGGCATGGTGGTGCACTCCTCTAATCACAGCATTGGGGAGGCTGAAAACAGAAGAATAACTATGAATCCAAGCTGTGTAGTGAGACCCTGTACCAAATACATTAAAAAAAAAAAAAAAAATGCTGGCGATAAAACTCAGTGTACTAAGCGCTTGCTTAGGTAAGTGCAGGGGACAGGGTTTGATTCCTGACACCTCATGCTGCACCGGCCCCGCCTCCAGGTGCCCTGAGCTGGCGATGGAGTCCAGGCGTTGTGGCACACTTGTAATCCCACTACTAAGGAGGTAGAAATCAGGAGGATCACTGTGAGTCTGAGCTGTGTAGTGAGCACGCACGCACGCATACACACACACACACACACACACACACACAGAGAACTAAATGGAATTTTTTCTACTTTATTTTTTATTTTCTAAATAGTACAGGGTCTACGGGATCTCGCTACACAGATCGGACTCCTTGTGATCCTCTTGTTTTTCAGCCTCCCAAGGGCTGGATGCACATTACCACGCCCAGACTCTGTGGCCAGCTCAGTATGCCCCTGGGGCAGGGTGGTCAGGACAAGCTGGATATTGAACCCCAGTCCCTTGCCTGGGCTTTAGTCCACTGAACTATGTGGCCGGCCTTTCCAGTTTAGTTTTATTTGTAAATCTGAGCTACTTTAATTTCATGTGTTAACAAAACAAGGAATAATTTTTGATCATTTCAGTAGAATTGTAGCTTTTTTTGTGCTGAATGGTCTCAACTCCTGCTATATGGAGGAACACACAGATGTGTAGACTAAATAAGTGTTTTGCTTTGTAGCATCAGTTCTGCAGTGACTAAAATGAGTGAAGTTTCAGATGCTTCCAAACAAAATGCATATGTGTCTGAAATCTAAATGTAGTCAAAAAGTCAGACAAAAAGAACATATACTGAGTAGTCTTATTTAGATTATATTTATAAACAGATGAATTTTACCAAATACATTAGAAGATAATGTTGGGCACAAGAGTGTGGATGATTATTGGGGAAATCCTAATGCTTTTTGTTATGTTGTATGTTTATTTCTCATGCTACAAAACAAGAACTGTTGAGGTGGGCTTATTTTGATTTGGGGATGGCTTTTACATAATAATTTCTAATTGTTAAGAAAAATTATTTGTCTTTTTAAAATTAGGATAACTAGTTTTAAAGTAAAAAACATTACAAGGGTGCCGAGGAGATAGCTCAGTGGGATAAATGCCTTCCTGGCAAGTGCAAGGTCCTGAGTTCAATCCTTGGTACTGCAAAAAAAAAAAAAAAAAATTACAGGGGTGAATAAGAGTATTTCTCAGCACAGGGAAAAAATAGGAAAAACTGAGTGTTTTGTAAGAGTAAGTTAAACAGTTATTCAAGACCTGATCTTAAATTTTTTTTTATTTTTATTTATTTGAGAGAGAGAGAGAGAGAGAGAGAGAGAGAGAGAGGTGTGTGTGTGGCCAGCTCAGCCCACCAGGGGGCGGGGCTGGCTGGCATGTGGTGCTGGGGGATTGAACCGCGGTCCCTGATGCTTTGCCAAGCTTGTTCCAAGTAGGTGCCTTAGACCACTGAGCCATCTCTCCAGCCCCTTAAATTTTTTTAATGTTGGAAATTGACACTGTTTCATGACCACAAACAACAGAAATCTCAAAAAATGTATTAATGATTTTATTTTAGTTATGTAAAATGTTTATGAATTCTGTGATATATATTACCGATTACTGAAGGTGGTAATTTCCTATCTCTCCCAGAGATTCTATTCATTAAACTCATTGTTGATGATTTAACAAATCTTTGATGTTTTGGAGTTATGTGGGAAAAATTATTTTCCCCACATGTATTTTCCCTAGCAGAGTCATAGATACTATGACTAAAACTCGTACCTCAATTTTTATTCTAGTTGCCTCAGAAATAGGATTCTTACCAAAATATTTAATGCCTGTACTTTTTAAAGGAGAGTATTATACATTGTATCTAGATTTGTACCACTGAAATCTTACATCCTCCATAATGTGAATTGGATACTGGGGGTAAAACAGCTTAAGATACTCTTTTAAGTCTGATAAAAAATTTTCAGTCTTTGTTATCTGAAAGATGAATAAATTATTTTGTTACATATTTCTATAGGAGGAATATAGAACTGAAGGAATCAGCTGGCACAATATAGATTATATTGACAATACTTGTTGCATAAATCTTATTAGCAAAAAACCAACAGGATTACTCCATCTTTTAGATGAAGAAAGCAAGTGAGTATATTATATTTTTCAATTTTATTAGCTATTGGAGTTTTTACATCATATATAAATTGTACCTTCTGTTTTCAAAAATAAAGTCATAAGTTCCTTTGTAGGCAAATTTTTTATATATGTACATTTCTGCATAGAGTGGACTTCACCGTTGAACTCATTGTTTTCTTCTTGCTATATTTCTTTTCCATATTTTAGTGTTAAATTTATAGATGCATACTTATTTTTGGGTTGTGTATTCTTGAGTTTTATATATGAGATGTGTTTGCAGTTCAGACATTTGTCAGAAAAGAATATTGTGATAAATTAGAAATGTTTTTTGTGAATATGCACAGGATAAGTGGCAAGATGCCAACTTTGCTCTTTCCTGTTAACTCTGTTCAGTACCTCTGACTTAAATATGAACCTCTGAAAGCTGTAGGGCCTCCTGAGAGTTCTCTGTGCCATAAAAATGTTACCTACAGGTAGCCTAAGTGAAGAAAAATTTGGATTGGAGAACTAAAATGAAAAGAGATTATTTTTTAAATTACTCTTGAGTTAAATGTTTAGAAATTGAGTTAGTTTATCTCATTCCTAGTTTAATTTTTACCCATTGAGGTAGGATAGAAAATAATTACATATTTGCTGTGATGAATAGAATGACTTTCGTTTTGTGTGACAATTTTATGCTTTTCATTCAATTTAAATATTAAAAATGACTTTTTCCCTCAGAAATGTCCTGTTTTGTGTAAGTTTTATGTCACCCTTTACTATGCAATAAACACACAGAATTGCTGTTTTAAAAGAAAAAAGTAAACTAATGGAAGCCAGACCCTCGCGGTGGTATATGCCTATAATCACACCTCCTGGGAGGGTGACTTGAAAGGATCATAAATGCAGAGTCAACTTTTGCAACTTAGTGAGACTCTTACCTCAAAATAAAAAAGAGCTGCAATTGTAGCCACCTAGTAGAGCACCTAGGATAAATCCCTAGTCCTTCTCCCCAAAAGAGAAAAAGATAGCAAAAGAGACAACTGACAGTTATATTACTATCCATCCACCCTAACCCACTATCAGTACTATATTTCTGTTAATCTAAATGAATTAAAATGTGGCCAATACAAATATTTTTATATTTTGTCCAGAATTTTGTATATGTACCTTTCATACCCAGAAATTCATATTATCTTTTATAAAGTTGCAAGGTTGTTTTTTTGTACTCTTATTATGATTATATTCTTTACTTCTAGTGTTTTTTTAATTTGACAAATTTTCAAAGTCATAGATAAGTTTTTTATTTTGTTGAGAACCATATTGGTTGATAGTGAAATGATAAGCAGTTCTTGATTGAGGTATTTTATAGTAACAAAAACATTTAAGCCCTTCAAGTAAAACATGAGATACTAAACGGTAGAGTTGAGATTTTAATTCTCTAGCCATTTCTGACTAATAAGTTTGAGCTTTGAAGAATTGCATTAGATTGCTTCCTTATAATATTTAAGAGTTAGAGTCAGAAGCCTACAGTTTATCTCTCACCAGTATTACCTATCCTCTACAGGTTTAAGTTTTCTTGTGTACAAAAAAGAAATGGTGATGGTAAATGATGGTGTTCTCTAGTATGAGTGTATGTAAGGTGTGATAAACAGCGTTTCAGGCAATGGGGATATAATTAAAACATAAACAGAACAAGGGGCTTCTAACTGTTCTGACAATCTTTATGCAAAATTTAATCAAATGTACATTTCATTATACAAAGGCCATTTTCCTGACTAGTTGCTTTCTCACAGATGCAAATTTAAAACAGTGAAGACAGAGTTACCCCTTTATTATTATTCACAAGCTTTTTGGGTTAAAACTGGCATTATAGGGAGATAAATTTTGGCTCAGTAAGAGGAAGAACTTTCTAATTATTAAAGGTGATACTTTAAAAAGCAAAACGATTATTTGAGTAATTATTTTGCATTATTTTGAGTTTTCTTTCTTTTTTTTTTTTTTTTTTTTGTGGTATTGGATATTGCACTCAGGACCGTACGCTTGCTAGGCAGATGCTTATGCCACTGAGCTATGTCCCTGGCCCTTTTGCATCATCCTGAGGGTATTGTTGTAGGTAAGAGACTGGACTAAATTTTTTTTTTCCTTTTAGTGCTGAGATTACAGGGTTGCACCACCAAACCCTGTACCCTGCTTAAATAATCTCTTTTTTTTGAATTTAGTATAGCATCTACAGGTTCTACAGGGTCCTACTATACAGATCGGACTCATAGTAATCCTCCTGTTTGCAGCTTCCCAAGTGCTGGGATTACAGGTGCATGCCACCACACCTAGTCTCAATGGCCATCTCAGAGCGCTGGGGGCAGGACCACCACGGCCGGCCAGGGATTGAACCCCAGCCCCTGTGTCTGCCTAAGCAGATGCTTTAATCCGCTGAGCTCTTTGGCCAGTTTAAATAATCTTTTAATTGTCTTTGCAATTATGTCTCTATATTCAATTCTTCATGAGAAATTTAATAAAGCATAATATATTTCTCTTACCAGTCCTGTACCTCTGCTTATAAATGGATTGTTTTTTGTCATATAAGGGAAGAAAAATTTGTCATTTTCCTTCTTAGGGTCCCTTGCTGGGGCTAATAATTAAACTAACAGGACAAAAGCATATGAATTTTTATTAGAATTTTACACATACATTGGAGTCCTCACATGAAAGTAAAGTTCTGAAGAAGTGACTAGAGCAGAGGACTTACATACTTTTAGACAAAAAGATGACAACTTTATGAATAAATATCAAGACAGAAGGTTTAGGGTAGGAGCAATGCATTTTGGGGAAATGACTAAAAGTTGCATTCAAAAAAATTAGTAGAAGAGTTATTTTGGTAAGTTAGCTTAAATAGACCATTTGAATGTCAATTTTCATTGTTTTGTCTTTTTTTTTTTTTTTTCAATTTTCATTGTTTATTAGAGTATTTTTAGAGTAGAGGGAGCATCTTTGTGATGCTTTTTAAGGGAGAAAAGAGCTCAAAAAGCCTTCCTCCTCTGTTTGTGAGGCTCTTTTGACTCAAAATAATCAGGAGGAGAAAGCATACTTAGGGTAGGAGGTCCTGAATTCATCTTTTATGCTTCAGTAGACCACACAATGCAGACATGAAGTGTTTTTCTTTTGCTGTTTACCTGTAAAGAGAGGTAACATTTAGGAAACTTTTAGGGGACTCATTTAACCTTAGTATTTCCTTCCTAAAAATTTTATTATATGGGAAATACGAAACATGTGTTATTAACATTGTGTGTAGTGCTCTGGAAGCTTGAGTTTGGGGTTAGAAGCCTTGATTAATCTTTTCTGTCCATTGACTATGAGATGTTAGGCAAGTTATTTTAGAATCTGTAAGATGCAGTATGGCATTTAGAAGGTAGAATAACACAAGCAAAGTCTCAGTTAATATATAGAGGTGTTTTCAATTATCACCCATCTTGCCTGTAGACCTCAGAGTAGAGCATTTTGAAGCTTGTTAGAAATACAAAAATCTCAGGCTTCCTCCTCTTGCTTGTTGAATCAGAATTTGAAATTTGTGGGAGATTGAAGTTAAGTTGAAAGTGTTTGTTTATAGAAGCATTTTTTTCAGTCTGCCTGCTCATGAGAATTGCCTTACACAGGATACAGAATTAAACACAAAAATCAATGGTGTTCCTGTACATTAATAATGAACCCACCCCTAAGAAATGAGTAAATCACCTCTATTCATAGTAGTTTAAAAACATTAAGTATCTAGGAATCTGTCCCACCAAGGACATTAAAAACCTTTAATGAAAATTACAGAACTCAAAAGAAAAGAGGACATTAGAAAATGGAAAGACATTTCTTGTTCTTGGATCAGAAGAATGAAACATTAAAATGGCTATATTACTAAACATGATTTATGGATTTAATGAAATCCCTATTAAATTACCAATAATATTCTTCATTGAAATAGGAAAAACAATCCTAAGATTCTTGTGGAATTAGAAAAGACCCAGGACAAAGCAATCATGAGGAAAAAGAGCAAAACTGGAGGTATAATAATACTGGATTTCAAATCATACTGTAAAACTATAGTATGAAAAATAGCTTGGTACTGGCACTGAAAACACAGAACCTCATGCTCCTACAGACGTTTTTTTTTTTTTTTGTTTGTTTTTGTTTGTTTTTGTTTTTTTTTTACAAAGAAGTAAAAAACATGCATTAGAGGAAAGAAAGACTAATAAATGTTACTGAGAAAAGCAGATACTCACTTGTAGAAGATTGAAACTAGACCCATGTCACTCACCCTATAAAGCAAAACTAATGATATAAGTGTTTCCAGGGAGGTAGCTCAGGGGCATAAGTACCTGCCTGGCTAGCACAAGGTCCTGAGTTCAATCCCCAGTACCAAAACAAACAAAAACAGTACAAATGTTAACAACTTTGAAACTATTGGAAGATAACAGGAAAACACTTTGAAGCCAAGGACATAGGCCAAAATTTTCTGAATAAAACTCTGGTAGCATAGAAAAATCAACAAATTGGACTACATCAGATGAAAAGGCATCTATGCAAGTAAGGAAAATTATATATATATATATATATTTTATATATAATATGTATATAATATATATATATTACAATCATACATATATATATGATTGTAATAAGAGGGCTGACTTTTGGAAATAGGGAAGGGTATCCGGCTGAGGAATTTAAGAGGTAGGTAAAGGGATAAAAATGACTCAGGTTATATGCACATTGGCATTTCCTCAAAATGAACATAGCAGTCTAGGGAGATAGCTTGGCGGTCTAAGCGCCTGCCTGGAAATCATGAGGACTCGGGTTCGATCCTTGGTACCACATGCTGTGCTGGTGCCATGCAGGCTACCGAAACTGGGCGTGGTGGTACACACCTGTAATCTCAGCACTGGGTAGGCTGAGACAAGAGAATCACTACGAGTCCAAGCTATGTAGTGAGGCCCTGTGACAAATAAATAAAGAGTTAAAAAACAAACAAAAAATGAATGTAA